TCTCTCATTAAAAGGTAGAAAAGTCACGGGATAACAAGGAATCACAAGTTACTGGTGGAAGAAGTGATTAAAATGTCTCAATGGTAAGGGACAGAGAGACCCAATCTAGGAGTGCTGGAAACATGAGATTAAGGGAATAATTTGAACTGGGCCTTTTGTACTGACCCCCACGTGCTTTCTTTTTAAGAAGCTATTYACCTGCAGTCCTGCCTGTCTTACCTGGACAGGTATGTTACATTCCTCAGCAAACTGCCTATTATCTGCAGGGAAAATGCAGGCCTGAAATAACATCGAGTCACTCTAAAGAGGGAGATTTTGTGACCCTTTCAAAATCCAGATGCCAGAACTCACGAAAATAAGGATAATTCCAACTAGCCATAAAATCAGTAAGAACTGGTGAGCAAGGGCCAAAGTGACCAAGAGTTATTAATGTAGTGGGGACTTAAAAGTCTGATGTCATCCTGAAGTCAAAAAACAAAAAGTGATCTGGGAAAGACTCTCTGGAAACTTCCCTAGGACCCACCCCACCCCCCAAAAAAACTGGAGGGCAGGAGAGGAGGAGAGGTCCTCTCAGAGAATCCACTATCTCCCTTGAAAGTATCACCTTTCCACCTTTTGCAGCCCTTCTAAGAAACTGTTACAGAGCAAGATAACTGAAATCTGATTTGATCCCAAGAATTATCTGTTTCCCAGAACGTTCCAGCCCTGTGACAGCCAGACATCAGCAAAGTAAAATGACATTATTTTAATCAAGTATATGCAGCCAAAAGCATGTTAAATAATAAGTACTTGAATAAAAACTGTCTTAGAAAGATAAAAGCATACTCACTCTTCCTTGCATTTGAATTTTTTACTTTTTCATTAATGAAGACAATAGCTCTTGTAATTRTACAAGATATTTTTAAATTTAATACATATTATTAAAAAAAAAAAAACCCTACTGTGAAACACATTCATTGATAGATTCAGTATTTTTCAGGTTGGGAGTTCACAATATTTCAAAGGCAGCAAATTTACCCAAATAAATATAAAGATTTAACAATTTCAAACAAAATCCTAAAAGATTTCATTATTGTAAGTGAACTATTTGTAATTTCAARAAGTATAAATGGTGACAATAGTATAAAATTATTTTGAATAATTATGTGAGTGGGAATTACACTGTCAAAAACTACGATAGTCTTCAATGCTACAAATAATCATAATTACTCCAACACTACACATAGATTAATCAATTGAGCAGAAATGTCATCATTTTAATTGAAACATTCAATACACTGTAAAATGATTCTTCAAATCTGGAAGGAAAATAGTTAATATTGCACTGCTTGGCCAGTCGGTTAACTGTCTAAAAACTTCTCTTTACAAGAAATAAAATCCAAATTATAATGGATTAGTAATCACCGTTGGAATCCTTCAAAAACAGTCTACCTTTGCGGGAAGATACTTTGGCAGTACAACCTAAGGGAGCTTAGAAGTCTGACTTTTATTAGTCCACCTATTCTGTTTCTAAAAGTTGGCCTATGGAGTCCATTCACACGGCACAGAAAGGAGAAAAACTACAAATACCCCAGTCATTGCACACGCTGCTTAAGACCTGTGCAACAGGCAGAGGAAAGAACAGAGTATTTTCGCTTTTCACGTATATTCGACAACTTTAGAGTTTTGTTGTTTGCGGATAGGACAAGAATAACATTAACTGAAAAAAGTTAATAGATCAAATCTTTAAGATTAAAACGAACCGAAAGTAAATTGCAGCACTGTGGGCTCGGGCGCCTCAAGGCCCCTCCCCCTACCCGGAGGGCCTTCCCGCCACCGCGCTTTCAGTTTTCACTCCGGTCCGCCGAGCTGACCTATAAAATAGTGCCTCCGACCAAACCCGACAGTCTTCCACCTTCTTCCCTCGGTTCAGTATGTCTGGTCGTGGCAAGGGAGGGAAAGGCCTGGGYAARGGCGGCGCCAAGCGCCACCGCAAGGTSCTGCGSGACAACATCCAGGGCATCACCAAGCCCGCCATCCGCCGCCTGGCCCGCCGTGGCGGCGTCAAGCGCATCTCCGGGCTCATCTACGAGGAGACCCGCGGCGTGCTCAAGGTGTTCCTGGAGAACGTGATCCGCGACGCCGTCACCTACACGGAGCACGC